GCGACCCCCCCCCCCAACGTCCCGAATATCAAGACCGTACGTCGAGCATTTATTATTTGTGCCAAACTGTTGACGAACGGACAATCATGCGATTCTACAAGCTGCATCTGACTTCGTCAGCTGAGCTAACAACAAAACCACTTAACAAAAAAATGCCCATTGAAAATGAATGAGTTTTCACAAAAAGATGCCGTAAACATTCGCATCGTTTCGCTGTTATATGATAAGAGAGGCGGGTCGTCTTGCTGATTTTTTAATCTGGCTCGCTGCAAATTCGCGAATAACCGGCAGCCCTATGCATTGATCAATGCTGCCTCCCACAATACATCAAAGCAAACACCGCAGGCGCGACCGCGCTTGCTATGTGCCAAGCACGTGCCCGCACAGGTGTCCACTAGGGCTGAAGGGGTCGTTGTCGTATCAGGTACTACATATATATGTACCCGAGGTACATATATGTATACACAAAGTGTACCAGACTTGTACTACAGAAGTCTACCCTAACCCTAACCCGAAACATACCTCATATAAAAATATAAACATAATACTAAACAACCTAAAACTACCTCGGGTACATATATGTAGTACCTGATACGACAACGACCCTTCGTGCCCACTAGGCACGTTTACCACGAAAGAACCCGCGTCATCATCCTCGGCACTCACTTATTCAACCCTATAACCTCGCTCATGGTTTTATCCTGGGGGAAATGCTGCATTAGTGATGCGCATTACTGAATTTAAAAACGCTGATGTATAATCGACTGCAGTATATTTTAGTTTTAAAAGTTGTTTGTGTTGTCTTTATAATCTTTTTATATAAATCTGTAACATGCAAAAGTCAAATCTTTTGCAGGAAAACATTTGCATTATTATAATGAACATTAATAAGAAATTGGATGTCTTTCATTGAAATTTCACTCAATGTTATATATACTGTTTAGGAATAGAACCTATTCATGAATGAGGAATTGGGTAAGATCAGTTGTGGAAATTACTCTTGCCAATTTGTGATTGCCGATAGTGAGTGTGTGCCTGCGTGCACGCGCGACTGCGCGTATGCATGCGTGCATGTGTGCGTGTCTGCGTGCGTGCGACACTGACTGCATTGTAGAAGTTATTACTTCTGTGATAGTGTGATACACTATTATTATAGGGGAACAATTTTATTTAATAAATCATTGCTCTAGCTACATTGATCTGCATTACATGATGCAGAACAGCAATTCTATATGAAGCAATACCTATACTATAATCAAATTACAGTGATTACTTTTAAAACTTTGAAAGTCACACTGTCAATATACAGACAAGTACTTTACTTACCATGTTGTTTCGATGCACATTGGTGGTGTATCAGGTGATGCCACTGCCATGGCTGCTATACCAGACTGTGCTAGTGACATCTGTGACAGTGGCAGGGTTGCTGGTGATGGCTGTGACAGCGGCGGGATTGCTCGTGCTGGCTGTGACAGTGGCTGAGAAATTACAGGAGACAATAATCGCAATTGCTGTTTTACTGCTTCG